GCTGACGTAGCTGGACTGGCATGAGGTGGTGGTTACTCATTGCAGCCGAAGAGGGAACTGACTGCTGATCCTTCACCCCATCTGCCTCTCTTCTATCACACCTTAGAAGTGATGTATAGCACATGGTCAGCCGGTTGCAGTGGTAAAAGGTCCCTGTGTTTGAAGGAAGTGAACAAGCAGCTCGGTGGTTATTAATCTGGTGCCTGTCACTTCTTCCTGCCTTTAGTGTCCAGCAAGGAAGATAGGGCTTTGCAAGGCACAGCACCCGGTAGATCTCAGGCACGTGTTTGAATAGGGAGGTAAACAAGGTCATCCTTAGAAACCCACTAAGACTTCTAATTTTATACAGTCTGAAAATGCCCAGGAGGCAGAAACATATTCAATTTAAATTAGTAAGTCTTGGTTATTCATCAGAATAAGTGTTTTTGAGTATTAAGAATAGCTGCTATATCTTAGTGCTTCCTCCTATTGTTAAATCTCTTCCTTGAGCAGTGGAAATGTTTTGGGTGTTTTAAACTACATTTACAGTAGCAATTAGGTTTAAGTAACTTTGCAGTTCACTTATCTAAATCTACATCTGTGTCTAAAGAGTGTATGATTTTATTTTTTTTTTCCCCCCTCCTCCTTCCCTCCCCCAAGCCGTGACAGCATTGAACAGGGTGGGCAGAGGGAAGCAGCCATGTACCCAGCCACTGGCCCGTGTCTGGTGATCTCTGCTCAGAGCTGCTGCTTCTGATGATAATGTGATGAAGTGCCTCTGTCTTTGACTGGCAGCTGTCTAGTCCCACTCCACTACAGCATCACATCCCGCCAGATATGAGTGGCTCCTCCTTTGCCCAATGTTTGTTTTTTTTTTTTCTGAAATGTGAGATTAATAACCATCTGCATACAAACAATCTCAGTTTAGGAAGCATCTGTTGTTGCTGTTTGTCCACTGCCTGAAGACTTAATCCTTTGTTTGTTACAACTCCTGGGTGCAGTAAAGCAGATTATGTGCTCTGACACAGAGATTGTGGCTGCAGTCAGGTTGGGTTTTACAGTAATCGAGGTCTGACAGTTCACTGCAGGGTCTGAGCCACCCTAAGTGTGGGTGGAGCAGAGAGAGCCAAGGGGTGATGTTGGGCAGTTGGGGAAGGGGATGCTTTACCTCTCCACTTGCACTGGGTTGATACCCCAGCTCCCGTGGCATGCCAGTATCTCTCCCAGTAGGATGACAAATTAGGTTTTGTCTTGTGAAGTAAAGTCAGGGGCGGAAGCACTTTGCAGGGTCTGAGTGTTGCTGTGGCTGTTTCTTCACAGCTGTTGAGCTGAGAGATGCTTGTTCGATGTCCCAGCTCAGGACAGAGCAGAGCCAGCCGGCATTGTGGGGCGGCTGCTGGAGCTGGTGCCTGTTACCCAGACATGATTGCAACTTAGTTCTTGGCCCCAGGCCACAGCCTGGGTGCTGCCTCCCTGGCAGACTGGGAACAAGCTGGGACTTGGATAATCTCACCGCCTCAGTGACTCCAGAAACTGTAATAATCTCTTCCTCTTAATGGATCCACGTGATGGATAGGTAACGCTACTTGAGGATTTTCTTGGTATGTGATGGGGTGGAGCGGGGATAAATTTTCAGGCTTTCCTAATGTTACAGTCTGTAAGAATAAACCTGCAGGAGAAAAAAGAATCGCATGTTAGAGATTTCATCTCTGTTCAGGTTTTTCCACTCTACTTTACATTGCAGTGTCTTTCACTTGCATTTGATTTTTATGGTAACAGATTACTCAGGGGATGCTTGAAAAATGTAATGCTGCATTAGATCTTGCGATGCAGCTCATGAACATTGTGTTCAAGCTGACCTGAAGGCACTGATGCAGAGCCCTGTCAGGCAGCGTTCAGAGGCAGGTCTCCCAGCTGTGGGGTCCCTGTGGTCTGGCAGAGGATTCCTGTTGTCTTCAGGTCTCCAGCCTGCACATGTTTTGCCCAGCTGAACTTCCCAATTATCCAAAAGTGTGTTGGATGTTTTTGCCTCTCCTTTTTGGTCCTGAAAAAAATCAGGTTTACTGAGCGAGCCAAGTCATGTCAGCTTGGCAGGATGTGTAGATATCTTCAGAAATAACTCATGCACTGAAGCTGTGATGATAACAGTGCTGGGTCTGTACCAGTGATTCATTTGAACTAATTGGCTGCTGAGAGCATTGGTATGTTCCTTTGTCTCCATATTTGAGTAAGATTCAGCTCCTGTGATCCAGATGATCTCGTCCTTGTGAGCTTGGTCCATCTCTAATGATGCCAGGAAGATTGTCCTGGAGCATGAAACATGCTGGAGAGCTTGAAGATAGTTATCCTGGTTCACTCCATCTGAAAATGTAGACTCAGCTGGCCTCGTATCCTATTCCTCCATCTCTTTTCTCACAAGCTAGGAAATGAACTTGCTGATTATTCCTCTCGAATTGCATGAATAACCAAAGTCCAGACAGGAGTGAATACATGAAAGGCTGTAGATGATAGTGCAGCTATTATTATCCACAGAGATCTTAAACTTTCAGTAATGCTGGTGTGCTGCTTTATATGAGTAATCAAAGCTGAATGTACTGTTAAAGAATCCTGTTTTCATTCTGAATACTTTAAATTCACCTCAGTGTGCAACGTGCCCGGCTGAATTGTTATTGCTGCATTGGAAACCTGCAATGATAAAGCTCACTCGTATGAGTGACTTGACTGTCAGCCTGTCTGAAAATCTACTGGTCAAAGAGGACAAGCAGCTGGCTGAAGTTATTAAAAGAAATGTCATAAGAAGGAACATAGCTGAGGGGTAAAAGAAACGTAGTTGTGGCCTGTTGTGCCCAGCTATTTGCAGTAATGGCAGCTCAGATGTGCTGTTGCACAGAGGAGAAGTAATGCCCTGAAACCCAACGGCTTGTTTCGGGGCAAGGTGTGCTCGGTGGCAAGCTTATTGGAAAGGCTGGGTGCTCCCTGGGGAGAATTAATGCTTTCCTGAGTTTGTAAACACAGAAAAGCTTAGAGCAGCCATATCTCTTCTCATAGATGTTTTTGTTGTCATCCCTCCTTGCTCTTCCCTCCTATGTCTCAAACCCTGGGCGGTTTGTGTGTCTGATGTAGCTTTGCAGCAACCGTTGTCTGTGTACCTGAATGAAAGCATCAGAATTGTTTTGATTTGCTTTTTGCACGTCGCTAAGGTCTTTATTATTGGATGAATGCATATAATTAGATATAAAGAAGAAATTCTTTACCATGAGGGTGGTGAGGCCCTGGCACAGGTTGCCCAGAGAAGCTGTGGCTGCCCCCTCCCTGGCAGTGTTCAAGGCCAGGTTGGACGGGGCTTTGGGCAACCTGGGCTGGTGGAAAGTGTCCCTGCCCATGGCAGGGGGGGTAGAACTGGGTGATCTGTAAGGTCCTTTGCAACCAAAACCATTCTGTGCTAATACGCTGCCTGTGTATAGTTCAGTGCTGTTGTAAAAGCTGTGGCTCATGGATGGGCTTTGGTTCTAACTGTGGATTTCACACACTGGTACATTCTGTGGTTTATCTTGGTTTGGAGCTGGTGGAGGAGGGAGCTATATGGATAACCTGAGTTTTGAAATCGATCCCTTATGATTCTCATAAGGACCACTTGTAGTGAATAAGCTAAGTAAGAAAGATTACACACGATGTATATGCAAAGCCTGTGGGTTTCCTGGGAAGAGGAGTGAGCCAAGAGAAGCCAGCTCTAGCTCCCACCATACACAGGAGCTTTCCCACAGGCACATTCAGTCACCTGGAGAAAGACCCACCTTCGGCCGGCCGGGAGGTTCCTCCTCGCTGGGGGGCTGTCCTCTTGGTTTGCTTCCCAGCGTCTAAAATTTTGGGGAGAGGAATAAACTTTTGCAAGAACTGGGAGTAAGGAGAGAAAGTTGGGGGTGTGGGGGGGAATTCCCATGATGTGTTTTTGCAAACTTAGCTTGGGGAGTTTTAAGCATCCCAGACCAAATACCCTCCCTCCACCTGCCCGGGGGCTGACGTTTGGGCAGTCGGGCAGCGTTCCTTCTGCAGCAGATCGGCTGCATGTTCGCAAGGTGGGGTGAAAGTGGCTGGAAAAATAGCTGCCTTCATGGGGAGGGAACAAAACTGAGATGGCCTCTTTGCATGCTTTTATGAGGGATTGTCTCTAAAATAGCTGGTGCTGCCCTTTAAGCCGTTTGCAGGCGGAGCAGGCTGAGCCATAGATCCAGTTTTACTGGGAATATTGGAAAAGAAGAGCAGGGTTATTACCTGTGCTGGAGAAGCTTTACGTGTCTTTGTTAAGGAAACTTTAAATAAATGACTGGTTTGTCCCTTTAACTTCAGGATTAGGAGAGTAAATGTTAAGAGGAGAGGGAAGTTACAGAAACGCTGTGAAAGGTTTAGTGGAGGGAATAACAAAGAACGAACAAAACCTGTTACGATGGTCCTGGGGAATCGGATTGCTTTAACCCTTAGCTTGCTTGTGTGTTGCTTCTTGTTGAGATTTTAAAGGATCTGGATCTTGCAAAATATTCTCTGTGGGTGTTACGGGTTTACGCTGCTCTTTCAACACCAGCGTCTGACACCCAGCTGGGATTTACTCACTGCTCAGCTACGGGAGGAAATGCTGAGTTTGCTTTTTTTAATAAGCATTCAGGTTTTTTGCTGCCTCCCCTGAGTCCCCCAGGAGATCTTTTGTGCTCCTCTTGATGTCCTCTTACTTCAGAGAAGTACAGTTTCGAGGAGCAAATACACCGTTTGACTCCTCCTTTCCAGTGCTCCCTTTGGGAGTTACTTCTTCACGTGGCTGAGGCTTGAGTTAATGTTTAGCGAGCCTTAGCTTCAGTCCAGGCTTCGAAATAACTCCTTGCTATTTTCTGCTTACCGTGGGCGCTGGGTGCTGGCTGTGGGCCGTGTCCTTCAGCCCGCGTCCCAGCCGTGGGCGGCTCAGCCCCGGGCACCGCTCCCGGGAAGGCGCAGGTGGATTTGCTGTCACTTCTGCTCGCTTCCGCGGGCGGGGGGATGTGGGGAGGGAGGGGAGGATGCTCCCGGCCGCCCGGTTGGCACCTTGCGGGTGATGAGGAGTGGCTCTTCCTTATCAACCACGAGGCTCGGCAGCCGCTCCTCGACTCGACAGCGGAGGGGCGCGGGTGGACTGACGGCCGCGCTCCTCCGCAGCTGGACATGGACAAGCGTGGCACACGTGGCTCGGGGGTGGCCAGCAGTGGGATCCCCAGCGCCCGAGGGGTGCTGGCACCAGTCTGGCCAGCGCGCTGTGCCCGGCTCGGCAGGTACGGAGCGTGGCGGTGGGTACGGGGTGATCGCTGCCCCCCTCCACCCCGAGGGCAGGGCAGTACCTGGGGCAGGACAGGTGGAAACAGGGTAAATTTCGAGAGGTGAGCAGGCTATAACATGCTCTTTAAAACTGTGCTTTGACTGCCTTGGTCCTGAAAGGAAACCTTTTAACACCCCACCCCCTTGGTTTGGGTTTTTTTGGTATTAACTCTGTAATTGGAAGGAGTGCAGCGAGCAGTGGGAGTGGGATCTGGGGGTGCGTGCGTGACTGGCAGGGTGAGATGCAGACTGCGTGTTTCCTTGTGACTCAGAAGTAACGCTGCCCTGGCAGCCTGTGAGCTTTGAGGGCTGTTCAGTGATTTGTAAAATCGTATAAGGGTAAGAACTTCAGATTTATACTGTGCAAAGCCCACATACTAAAGGATACAACAAAATTGATCTACTTGAGAAACACTGTACTGTGTTGTGCCTAAATGACATTAAATGACTTACAACTTCATCTAACATGTATTTGCATCAGCTTAGAAGCTGCACCAAGTTTCAGAACTCCCTGCTGCAGTAATCTTAACCTGTTGGTTTTGTGTGAATGTATTCAAGTGATTTTATTTCTAATCATAGCTCACATTTTCATGTTTCTGATTTATTTTTCCTAGTCTGCTTTGACCTTGTATGTAGAAGCAAGAAAGGAAATCTTTAAAAGATCACAGGCAAAATTTGAGATTAAAAAAAAAAAATCTTAGTGGGAGTGACAGAGGAGTAATATATTAAATTATTTTAAAATTACCTATGTGTAAGAGAACTAGATTAGCACCTTGAGTATTCTTTGATAAAAATCAAAATATTTAGTAACAACTTCTGGTTTTCGCTAGACAAGTTAGTTGAGTTCCAGTGTCTGTACCGGTGCCAGAATACCTCTGTGGTCAGGTCTGAAGAAGTGCTATGGCAGGAACCCTGAATTTGCTCACTAACTTTGACCACAACACTTAATTCATAGCAAGTGGCAGTTGGTATCTGTTCATTCAGGCTGCACTGGCAGGTGAAGCATGTCCTGTATGTGTAACTAAGCCTCTCTGCCAGGGCTAACCTACAACATGCCTATACAATAAGGCAATGATACACCAGCCATCCTGGTCTTCTAATTAATTGACTATAATGACTGTTTATTTTTGCAGCAGTGACTGTGGCATGCTTGTTGGTTTCCCATTAAGACACTTGGGCTTACCTGGCAGCAGTGATGTGCCTCCAAAGCAGTGCTGAGGAAAAGCCATTGCTGGCTCGCTCTCCCTCGTGCTCCTCCTCTCAGAGCTGTAAAGCTTGTGGTACCTGAGGTGGCTTGTGGCCCTGGGCTCAGTGGCCCTGGGCTCCCAGGCAGCACTCCAGTTATTAATTATAGAATTATTTATAAATCTCAACCAAGGCCAGGCTTCTCATGGCAATGTAAGCACTTTGTCTTATGTGTAATAATTCTTACCTGAGAAGCCCAAGCAAGGAGCTTATGACTGTGCTTCCCATCTTCCTGCATCCCTAAACCTCTCATGCATGAAGCATAGCTTGATTCCACCACATCTCTCAACCACTCCTTACTTTGTGCTGGTCAGCAGGTTACTCTTGTGACCTCTTAACAGTCTCTTGCCTGTTCCCATACATCTGAGCAATCACTTAGAATTGCTCGTTCTCAGCTGTGGTGTAGGTATGGGTGCTAGAATGGGCTACAACAAGAAATGAGAATGAGTTCTATAATCCTGATTTACTCTAAATTCATCACTAAAGAACTTGTAGGGCAAATATTTAGTTTGTGTGAATCCCTGCTTTTGTAAGAAGCCTTGGCATTAATGAGTGATCACACAAAAATTCACAGCCTTTTTGTAAAGGATTCAAACATACTAGCAGCCTTTCATCTGAAAGCCATGTGGTTCCACACCCCCTTTGACCCTAAGCTGGGCAGCTGAGGTGTGCAGGGGTTTAACATCTTGCCTAAAGTCACAGCAGCGATGGAAGTAAAGTAAGGGTGTCTTATCTGACATAACGGTAGCATGTTTTGAGGATGCGTTTAGTAACTGGGAGGTATTGACTCATTCTGGCCTCGGCAAAATCCCTGGCATCGAGTGCTACAGGGCTGTGACAGCCAAGTCGCTACAGGGCTGTTGGTCTGTGCCAGCTGCTTCGTGGGGATGCCGAGCACAGGCTCAGCCTCGCGGCGGCTGGAGCAAGCCCAGGGCAGCTCCCCTGCCGAGGAGGGGGTGCCGGGGAGAGCAAGTGTGCGGGAGCTCCTGTCTGTAGCCAGTGCTGCTGGTCTGGGGGGATGGCAACCCCGTGCGAACTGGTCTGTGGGTTTTGGCATCCTGGCGTTGTGCTGGATGGTGGAACTTGAACGGCAGACTGGATCTTTGTGGCTGCTGAGTGGACAAAGCTGCTTGCATGTTTAAACACACGTGGATTCAGTGGAGTGTGTGAGGATAGAAATAGGGATGAGAGGGCCACCTTCTAACTGATGATTCTTGTAGAATCATCCAGGAGATCGGGCTTACCAATTCACAATTTCATTGAAGGTTGCAGTACTCCTAAAGCTTTGTTTTGGCCAGGTACCCCTTTCTTGCAGCCGGATTTCTGTGTCAATGAAAGCCCTTTCCTGTTTGGGTTACCATGCTCGCACGGGGCAAGTGAACAACGGGCTTGTATGCAGTGACCTTGCAGTGAAACAAAAAACACATACAGAGAACATGGCTTATGTCTTTGGAGGCCAAAACAAACCCTAGTGCGATGGGACAGACACCCAGCTAATAGACTAAACTAAATGTGGCTTTGAATATTTTTAATTTGGCTGTATCTACATGGGCTCATCAATCTGGTGTTTGTTCTGCTCTGGGTTTCGGTCTGAGACACCTCCAGGCATATCTGTAATTACAGGCAAATTTGACTATTCCTTAGCTTGCTTATTTAGACCCTTACTAGACAGAGTGGAGACAAGCCTGCTCCTGGTGAAGGCCTGAGACAGATGTTGGGATGGAGTTTCTTTGCCCTTAAATACATTGATAGAAATACTTATTGTCAGGTAAATTCTAACATGCAAATACAAGTTCCTTAAGTTTATTTAAAAATGACCTGACAGTATCAGTTATTTAAAACTCCCAGTCCTGTGGTGGAGGTCATCTCTGGGTCCAGCACAGAAAGTGATGGAGGTGCAGTACGTTACACAAAAGTGTCAGGATTCATCTTTCATTCCCCGTAGCACTGGGCAAAGGTTCGCTGTTTTGTCTTTCTGGTGTCAGTAGGGATGCCAGGACAGGAGTTGGGGAGTGCCTTGTTGTTGTTGGAGTGGGGGAAAGCTGGAGCTGGTATGAATTACTGCACACATGCAGAGCTCTCTGGCACGTCCTCTTTATCACTTGCAGAACAGGCTTCTTCAAAACAACCTTAAATGACGCTGCTCCCCAAGCTGCTTGCATAATGGAAGATCTTGATGAACTGATTGCTGTGTTACTGAAAACAAGCTGTAATCTTATTAGGAAATTGTAGTAGTGACATCTTCGCTATTCTTGCTGGTGTTATAGATACAGACCTTCAAGTGTGCTGTTCCACGGGTGCGAAGTCCTCGATAAAGTGCCTTAATGCGAACATGAGTGGTGGTTGGCAGCAGTGCTGTATAAAATAGCCTGGACTAAAGGCACTGTAACTTCTCGTAGGGGATGCTTTCAGTAAAACTACTAGGTCTATGAGCAAATCCCCTATGGTCAGAGAGACGCAAAGACGTATGTCAGCAGTGGCAGCCTGCTTCTAAGATTGCTTTAATTCTGGCTCTTTAGTTGCTTCGATTTCGTTAAGCCAGGGAAAGTAAAGCATGGTAAGAGTATATTGGGTAAGTTATTGTTCATTGCTGCCACAGGAATTTGATAATTAGTCTGTCTTTGCTTTATGGTCTGGTCCAAGGAATTTGAACGAGCCGTATGCTTTTCATTTTCTCCTAAGAGTAAACTTCAGTAGTGCTTTTCTTGTTGTGGGGAGAAGGGAGGAATTGGTAGTCTGTGGTGTTTGTAGTATAATATTTGGGGAATTGTAAATCTAACAAAACCAGGCTTCAAAGGTTTGCAGTAGAGCTTTCTTTTGATTTAGAACTTTGGTAGAAAAGTTGTGGAGCTTTTGTCCACAAGGCATGTCCTGGATAAATTTGCTATTAGTGTTGGGAATAGAGTTTTGTGTGGTTCTGTGTGTCTGAATGAAATAGCTGTTTATGCATATTTCATCTAAGATTTTGATAATAAATAGATTGACTTCTTCCATACAGGGACCTTATAATAACATTGATATCTTTGAAAAATTGAGGTTTAAACTTCCAATACTTTCAGTAAGCAAAATATCTATATCTGTGATAGATAGATAGATAGATAGATAGATAGATAGATAGATAGATAGATAGATAGATAGATAGATTACTGCTTCAGGATTTTGTCCAGTTTTTCAAATATTCCTATATGTTGTTTCTGGATGCCTTTATCCTACTACGTGATTTTAAACAAGAAAGCCTGTGGTGGGCTGATCTTTAGGTGAATCTTTCTCTTCAGAATTAACAACACAGTGCTTCATTGGTTTAACCTGTATGAACTGTTTGCTTAGGGCAGGAACTTTGAAGCAATCTGAAGAGGGACTTTTTCCTGCATTATTTTTTTTTTGTTGTTGTTGTTAATTTCTTTTATTCTTGTGCTTTTGTACCCATCATTTGTTTTTTGACCTTGAAGTAAATTGAGAGCTGGTAAGATGTGTGTGTGTTGTGACATTAATACATTTCTGTTCTCTGACTTAGTGTCTTTATCTGTCAAAATACTGTAACCAGTTGATAGAATAATTTCTCACGTACTTTGTCTTTCTTTCAAAAGCACTTGTGTTTCATGATAATGATCTGAATTGCTATGATACTTGGTGTGCTCCTAACTTGCTCTTGAGGTTAGTTCAGACTCCTTCCATCTGTTTCTTTGTTTCATGTGTGCCTTTGTACTTGCTCCAGACCTTTGGAAATGTCTAAATCTAGGTGCTTGTTGTGTGGGAGGACTGCCTTGTGTAACTTAGTTCTTCTGTTCTTGTTGCCTTTTTCTCATAGTTTTTCTCATAGTTTTTTCTGGAAACAGTATTAAAGGAATTCCATTTTCTTGGCTTACACTTGTTGCCTCCTGTTCTGTTTGAAATGCTTGAGAAGGAACCTCTTTATTCATCTGTTAGGGAGGTATTTCAAGGAGGGAAGGATGTTGAGCAAGCAGTGAAGTAGTCTAGGCAGCTACAGATCCTCTGAGAAGCTCTCTAACAGGAGTGATTCAAGCATGGCATGATCAAATGCATAGCAACAGTGTTTATTTTATTTTGATATTCAAGAGGGCCAAGAGTTGCATGAGTGTTTACAGTTTATTTGCTGTGTGTTGACAGTATCTAGGAACAGGTCAAAACCTACTCTCGAGACTGCATATTCTAGCCCAGGTTTGGTGAGCCACCATCACTCGGAGTCAGATTTTGCAGGTGTGCTGATCTTGCTAAGGGCTGCCAATGCTTTACATGGAGGGGATTTATAGAAAAGGTAATAAAAAAAGGAACTCTATATGGCAGTCTAATTTCTCATAACTGTGTCATTAATACTGTTAAGTCAGGGTTAGACTGAAGGTGTTAGGCAAGTCAGCTGAATGAATCTCGAGCCCCTTTAAAACTGGCTCTGCTCTTAAACAAGAGGAGAAGGTTGCGTTAGGATGGCCATTCCTTTATGGTTGCCCTTAACTAGGTCTTTATGCAAGTTTGCTTTTTGTTGCGTTAATTTTTAAAACTTTATAATCTAAAGTTTTTTGTTACATTGACAGCCTGGGTGAACTTGATTATTCTACCTAATCTTTGCCCAGTTACAACTGAGTGATTAACATTTTAAGCCAACAATCTACACTTTCAATCTAAACTGTTGCTATGTTTATACGTCACTGATTGCCCTCTGCTGACTTGGGAATGCAGTGAGGAAGAACAGTCTTTTAGGTGAACTGAATCTAAAATTAACCTTCCACCTGAGTAGTTGGATTTGTAATGCACTGTGTTCAAGAAAAAAAATATTTAGACCAGAAAACAAAACCTTTTCTAAATTTAAAGGCCTGAATTTGCTTTGGTGGTGTCCTGTGAGACAGTAACAGCAGCACTAGTTTAGGATTTGTAGAGCTGGGCTTTGGATCCTGCTGCTGCTGTGTAGAACTGCTCTGTGACATTGGCATCCTGCACCTTGGTGAAATAGTTAGTGCATCAGTCCATGGGGTTGTTGAGAGAAAAATTAGGATGGCTTTTCCACTGTTTGACACACAAACAGTGCTAGTATGACACTCCTAGATTAGACAAATAATGTGACTGGTGGTGGAGCTTTTTATGCAAGCCCTACTAGATCGTCTGTATTTCCAGCTGTGAAAAGAAGGAAAATAACTGTGGGTGGTATGAAAGCACAAGTTAAGAGTGTAGTAGGGGTTTAGCAGTTGGCCATTGTCTGGCAAAACTATATCCTTGCACCAGTACTCTTGATAGGAACTGAAGGTGCTGCTGGATCAAAAATAGCTGCTGGCAAGGCTATAGCCTGAAACCTGAACTGTAAGGATGTTGTGATGGTTCTCAGGTGTGTACCAGGAATATGCCCTAATGCCTTAGGTAAGTATTACTCCACTCGGTCGTAGTATCTCCTGGACTGAAACTTGCATTCAGGATCTGTTATCTGGGTAAATCATGCAGAACATCTAAGTCAAGAGTCACCCCTTTGAAGACTGTATTTATGTTGGCTTAAAATTTTGGGTTTTTTCCAGGCAGGCCTGTGGCAGGTGTGGGGAAGAGATTGTCACAGCTATGTGTGACACAGGCTTGCTGCAGAGCATGTGTGCTGGGTGCAAGCTGCTGCTCGGGTCTAGGGTAGGTTCTGCTGGATCTGTAAACCTAAATTCTGTTTTGGTGTGAGTCCATGGAGGTTTCTGGGATGTTATATGAGCCAGCTCTAAACCAAGCTGAACATGAAGGAAAGGTGTATTTCATAAATCAAGATGAATACAAAGGAAAGGTACATTTCAGAGCTGCCTTGGTCCTTATAGCCTAGATCTCACAGTAGTACAGGGCAGTAACTTAGGGCCAGAAGAGTAGTTGTGTGCTTGCTGAATGCCTCTAGTAGAGCAATTAGGAGATCTTGTAAGCCTGTGTGGTGTTGTGCGCTGGGGGACTGCTCTTTAGTGCAAGTTTGGCTGCCGGTGTTTCTGGCACTGATATGGCCAAAACCAAGTCCCTCAAGGTAATCTAAAATCCTCCTTCTAGTTTCATGTTGCAAATGATTATTTCTGTTGACTGGCCTGTAGTAGACTAGTGAGATGTCATGGCAAGGTATTAAACAGTATTTTTGATGCTGGCTAGGTGGCTTTGTTTAATCCTCTTACGAGAAGGCTGTCAGCAAATGTGAGAAAATGGAGAGGACTACTAAAGAAGAGTTAATGTGAGGGATGTGATCTAAATTTTTAACTCCCAGTGGGTGAAGATATAAGTAAAAAGTTGAAAGGGGAAATAATGATTTGGGATGGTAGCTGTAGTAGAACTGAGAGAGATGGGCATGAACTATCAAGGTAAAAGAAAGTTTTAAAATACTTAGATTGACTATTTAAGTGCTCTGCCAGGCTTTCAGTGGTATCTCAACTGGAGGCTTGTTATTTGGATATCCAGAGGTAGGAAAGGTGGGGATGGGTACTAAACAAGCAGATCACCTTTGCCCTTGTCAGGGGTGGGCTGGGTGGTTTAATAGCTCTTTTCAATCTTTCACTTTTGTGTTCCTGTAAAACAAACAAACAAAATCCTTCTTATTTTTGTTCTCAATGCTATTGCTGGCTCCAGATGTTCCTGGAATGATGGTTATTGCTTTAGTCCTGACCTTTAGAAGAGAAGGGCTGCCTGTGTGCATGTTAGAAAGGTATGAGCATAATATGCATGCGCATGTGTAAATCCAAGTGCAGAATACTCTGCAACATAGGCCTCTTGGTAGGTCTTCAAATTAAGTCTTTTATGACTTGAAATGCTTCTTAGAACAGAAGTTAATGCCAAAACTGCTAATAATGGCTTTCTGGAATGAAAGGAACTAAAACTTTCCAGGTATTTTGCCATCTATAACTAAGCCTTTCCAGAGCTGGGAGGCTAAATTACATTTGGTGGTTGGTTTGTTGTTGTGGTTTTCAAGGCACAAGATTTGATCTACTTTTTTTTTTTTTTTTTTTTTTTTTTTTGTGTTTGGTGGTGGTAGGTCTTCCCAGGTGTCTTCAAACCATCCTGAGTTAGTGTAGTATGCAGTCTCTTTAATTTTCGTATTCATATGCAGTCTCTTTAATTTTTGTATTTGTAAGTTGAACCATTGAGGTGTTTTCACAAGTAGGTTCCATTTATCCCCCCCCTTTTTTTTTTTTTTTTTTTTTAAGTCTTTGTAAAAGATATACAGCAGAGTTTAAATGGCTTGCACTTTTGAAGTGAATTAAAACTAATTTTAAAAGAGGCGTTATTTTACGAACTGATGACACCCTCACAACTTTCTGCAGAGAGGTTGAAAGCTGAGCAAGGCCAGTCTGGAACTTTGGCTGCCCATGAATTAATCAACAGGGAAATTTCAGGGAAAAACAGGGAAACAAGAAAATTCTGTATGTTTGGGTTTCCTGGGACACTTGTTCTGATTCGCAGCTGAAAAGCCTGGTCTGGGCAGGAAAAGGGGGCCTCAAACATTGGAGTTGCTTATTGCGTGAGCTGAAGTGCAGGAGATGGAGCTGTGCCAGCTTGTGCATGCAGAGGACAAGCCTGCTGGGTTCAGTCGCTGTGGCTGGGAGTTGTCGGACTTGCGGCGTGTGCCAGAGTCAGAGCACATGTGCCAAACTTGAAACACTTTTGCGTTCTGTGAATGTGGAGGGTATCTGTTCAAGTTTGCAGGGGAGTCTTGGAAGCAAGTGTGGGAGTGGTAGGTGGTGTCTCATAGGTCACTGGAAGGACAGCATTGGAAAACTTGTGTTGATCCTCTTGCGTGTTTGGACAGCAGTTTTTCCCCTACTCCAGGGGATTTGATTGCAACTTTGTCTGTTATTACTAAGCACTAACCAAAGGAAGTCTAGCACTTACCTCTGTTTGGCTTTTATTGCAGTCATTAATCAATGAAGACCGATGCATGCCATCTCTGAATACATACAGTTTAATCTCTCTCTCCTTATCTCTTCCCCTCTCAGTACCAGAAATTGCCCTTGCAGAATGAGCCAGCTTCCTCCAAAGAGTCCTTTGCCATCCCCGGTGTCAGAGGGCACGAATTCCAGGGTAGAGTCTTTGGACAACTTGTCAATGGACAGTTTTTGGCTGGAAGTAGAGAACATTAAACAGAGCACTGAAGGCGAACAAGAGGAATGCAGCCTTGCAGATGTCAAAACACAGGAGGGTAAGTTGTCAAAAATGTTGGGAGTGAGGGGAGGGAGATTAACATCTTAGAGAGAAAATTTGCTTATGCACCTGAATGATTTAGAAGCATGTTGCAATATGGTTGGAATATTACTGGTCAACTCAGATATATAAATTTTTTTCACTGGGTGGTAGATAATACCCTGCAGAAGGGGAGTGCTGTCCTGGCTTGGCTTCAGCTTCTGAAACAAAGCTGACTTTAAAGGTCAAGCAGCAGTAAGTTCAGGGCTCCATATTTTTTCAAACAGCCCCCACTAAGTGTGGGGGCCCTCTCTCCCTGTGCAGGTGGCTGTATGGTAAACATGCTGTGATAGCTGATGGTGTTTTGGAAGGCTTGTTTGTGTACGTGGTTATGGGACTTCATCATAGTGGCTTTTATGAGAGCTGCTTTTGTGGAAGGCAGATTTTTCTCCTGATTCACTCTTCAAGAAACCATAATAAACATTCGGAATGATGTGAGTTCATCCACACAAGGTTTTTCTTATATACTTTTTTCCCCTCTCTTTCTTTTGAAGACTGCTTCATATGCATGGGGTGTTTCTAATGGGCTTTCTGTAGCACTGATGTTATCCAGTATTTTGGAGTAACTGGAACCTGGACTGATTGCCCTTTTGACATGGGAGCTACATCCTGGGCTGGTGGAAGGATGATGAACTGTGATAAGCACCCATCGATCCCACAGATTGGGATCACATGTTTTTGGGGCCCATTTTGAAGCGTGTGATTTAGCTGGCAGTACATCCTCTTGAATGGTCGGGTTTGCAGCCTGTACAGCCTACAGCTGCTGTGCTGGCCTGATACTGAGAAGGATCCATGTGTGTAATGGGGAAATGTTTGAGTGAAAGTCCCAGTGTGGTGCAGTGCTTGGGAAGGGTAAATAGCTGTCCTGCTGTCTAGAGGGGGCTCGGGAGAGCAGGGTGGGAAGATCAGCATCCGTGTCTGCCACAGTAGGCATGACACAGTAAACATGAAGGTCATAAGTTGTTTTTTTTAGAACTGGAAGAGATGTAAAAGTGACTCAGAAAATGAGCGTGCCAGGAAGGAGACTCTGGAAAAGAGGCCATGCCATGAGATGAAAGGCTGTCTGGGGTATCCGAAAGACTGATATGCCAGAGGCAGTTTGATTACTGTGTGTAAGGAAGGACACAAGGAAAAGTGTCTTTTAATGCTGTATATTAATATAGCAGGCAAGAGCTGACTACTTAATTGGCCACTGAAACCAGACAAACTTGAAATAAAGCTCTGAGTACTGAAGCCTTCCCAGCAGACTGGGGAGGGAGGTGTGGCACGCTTGGCCTCCTGGTGCCTTCTGTGAAGGAGTTTAGTCAAATCAGCATTGTGCTGGAAGCGTTAGTGGTGAGAGGAAGCTTCACGTGGTGTGGGTGCAGGATTTGGCTGGTGTCTCTTGGCTTTCATGTCTCTGCACCTGATGGTCGGAGCACCGTGAGGTGGCAATGCAGCACGGAGGCTTCAGGGCTCCTGGAGACAGCCTAGCTCAACCTGTCAAATAGCTGATTGTAATTGCAGTACAGGGACAGCGTGAAGGCTACGAGTAGATAAGACATTGCAAAAATGCTGACCCGGTTGGCGTCCTGTCTCCTGTGCAGGCCCTGTGTAAGGGTGGTGTAATGGGACACTGCTTGTGACCTGGTGTTATGGGAGGCCAGCATGTAGCTGCAGAACTGGGTCAGCTGAAAGGTGCTGATGATACTTGTGGCTTCACTAACAGTTAAAGGGAGCAGAAAGCAGCTTTTTCTTGAAATACAAGCAGCGTTGTCCTTTCCATGCTGCCTGCTGTTTATCCAGCTCTCTCCAAGGTCTGACAGTACAGCGGACTGTATGTTATGCACTCTGTGCGGTAGTGCCACGGAAATACCTGATAGCATCCTTGTAGCATGTAATCACATCTGAGAAGTGTCTTCAAAGAGTGGTTCTTCTCTGCCTTCGAAACCTATATAGGAAGTTCCGCTTAATGTTTAGTGTGAGATGGTAGGATGCTGTAGCTGTCCTTTAACTTTTTAGAAACTAAATCTTTATTATGAATTCTGGTTTTGCCTAGCTTATGTTTCAAGTAAGGTTTTGAAACTGATGTTCTTTAGTTTTGCAGATTTATTCCTAGTTGTGCCCCCCTGAAATACTGCTTTTCTGGAACTCACAAGACAAATCTTAGCAGCTCCCCAGGCTTAAACCTGCAGCTCAGCTTCTGTGGGCCTCTCAGCTCTGACCTGTTTCTCTCTGATTTGCCTTTTCTCCCTGTAAATAACCCATTTTACTGTTTTCCTTTTGCATTACTGGCAAAAATAACTGGGCCAAAAATATTAAGTAGAGAAATTAAGATATGGTGCTTTGGCATCAGATGGGGCAGTAGGCTCACACGGATGTCCGATTTAGGGCCTGCTGTTTAGTATTGTGTATTAGATTAGTTTCCTGTTATGACTGGAATTGGGTATTTTCAAGATTTGCAAGCAATACACTTAACTTCCTTTAGTTCCCAAAGACAAAATAAACCAGGTTTTTCTGCATGCTGTGCTGTTGTCAAAGGACGGATGTAGGACAAATAGCTATACAGTGAGGAGTTGTCATGGGACCATGAGACTGTGAGCAGTACTGGAGGGATGTTCTTACCTGTAAGCTTCAGTAGAACTAGACATGGGAAAAGACCAGAACTTAAGACCATGCAGGAAAGCTAGCCAGTATGCTAGATGATTCATTAAAGGAAATACTTGACTTCAAGTCCAGCTCCATTTGTTGTGGTGTGATGCTGAAAAAAGTTCTGTTTCATTACAGCACCTAAGAACACAAAGAGTATGCTCCAAAGGCTGAAAAGAGTTTTGATGGAGTCCCAATATGTTTTTGCAAGTTACGTGAACACAGAAGCTTCCCCAGAAAAATTAAATTACTTAATCTCTCAAGAAGAGCTGCATGGCTTTTTTATTATTGATGCAGCAATAATAAAACTTTGCCTGAGCAATAACTGCAGAGATAACAGTTTAAACAGGAAAAGAAGAGGGGAATGAACTGTTCGGTTTCACTCAGTTCAGCTGTGATTTTTCTTTTTCCTAGTATAACTTTTCGTAGAGCTGTGCTGGAGCTGCCTGCAGTGAATGAATGTGGTAAATAGTATTGAAAAGATAAAGGCTTTGTGGTGTTCACTGTATTAAAGTTGAAGCTACCTGTTAAATTGCTTCTTTTATCCTTGGATCAGGGCACTTTCTCACTTGCACAAAGGGTGCATCCTATAAGGAAAAAATTGTCTTCTGTGTTTGAAGTGCAACTTTATATATAGTGAAGAATGAAGTGGAATTGAGCTTGTCTGAGTAATGCTGCTGTGCTGTCTCCAGGCTTCTCACACTTCATTCTGGAACTGGAATGATCTTTAATTTTAGTGATTTTGAATAGGCACAGACATAAAGCGAATGCGCAGAGTAAGAATAACATTTTTGCTTTTATTGAATGGCTGTATGGATACCAATTCACTTCAAAAAATAAAGAGTAGGGATGATGCATACACATAGTTCTGCAAGTATATTAAACAAAATACTTTTGAATCTACCAGATCAGTGTCTGGATATTTAAGAAATAAAAAGTTGTTGATACATAGGCATGGATATAGATAAATAAAAATTAAAAGAATTAGCCATATAATTGGGAAGATTTCAAAAGCCAAATGTGCAGTGTTGTATGTTGTGGCTTTTCACAGATCTTTTGTCCATTCTTAAAGCTGTTGGAGGGTCGGGTGTGCTCCAGGGAGGCACTGCCATTCCTTCAGTTTGCTGTGTGCTCTTGACTGCTGCCAGAGCTCCCCTTTGCACAGGCAGTCCATGTAAAGACAGATTTAAGCAAGTGCATCTGACTTTCCTCCCATGTCCCGTGAAAGCCCCCACTGGGTTCGGTTCTTGTTGCAATCCTTGGGCTGAATACCGTGCAGAGTCACACCTGTTCTGAGGGAGCCTGTGTTTCTGGCAGGGTCCGTGCCTCCTTATTTTTTTCTTCTTTTTCCTCACCTAGGGTGAGGAGGAAAGAGTATGTGGGCAGTTACAGCTGCCTGAAGTGCTTTGTCTCCTCCACTTTCGCCCTGATATTCAGCTGGGTACCTGGGAATCGGACTAAGGTTTTGAGAAGAGCAGTGGCTTCCCCCCGGTGATGACCCAGAAGGGGGATGGCTCAGGTGTCTGCTTTTCTGTCTCTGAAGTGTTACAAGCACTCATATTGATGTTAGCCCTGCTCTTCTCACTCGCTCTCCTCATCCCTTGCCTCGCAGAGGGGGAAGCTGAGGCTGAGTGGCTTCAGGACGCGGGTCTGTCTGACCTCCTCGGGGACGGTGCCTCGGAGAAGGACAACATCGTGCTGCTCTCCACCCTGACCAGGACCCAGGCTGCTGCTGTGCAGCGGCGGTTGGATACCTACTCCCGGTCTCGGAGGAGGAAGAACAAGCATCCTGTGCGTGATGTCCGAGACATTTTTGGGGTGGTCAGTTCTGAGGTAAGTTGATTTAGTGGGATCTCCTGAAAGACTTTGTGTTGTGGTAGCAGACTTGGCTTTCTGGGTCTAGGGCTACTCTCATTTCCAAAGAGATGACTTCTTCTCTTGAGCTCAAATGGAGCCGAGATAGTTGGAATTCTGCATCCAGCTTGCAGCATTGAGAAGCTGCTGCAATACCTGCAGATCTGTAAGCTTCCCAGAGACTGCTGGAAGATGCTTGTGTAGTGCCTGCGGCACTGCAGCCTGGTGGAGCGCTGGTATCATTTGGAGCCCTCTTGTGTTTCCTTTATTCCAGTGACATGTTAAATCATTATTAACCAAAAAAAGAGAAAACCTTGTATATTCATTTTATCAGAACTGAGCCTTGTACAGCTGGTAATTATGGAGAAAGACTGGCCACTGCCTTTTTTTTTTTTTTCCCTTCTTTACTGGAGAATACATAACCACTAGATTTTCAGCTGCTTTCGTGCTGTTCCTCTTTTGGTTGTGGCTGCAAGGTACGGTATCCTTATATTTTCTAGAGGCTGCTGGAATGTTTCGCAGCCAGAGCTCCTTGTGACTTTTTCTACTTGGTCAATTGTGTTGTCAGACGATATTGAGCTTGACCAAGATCTACCTTTTTCAGTAGCATGGGACCCTTGTTCTCTTCTGGAACTGATTACTCCTTTTCCTCAGCCTGAGCCTTTTTGAGGCTTCTTTTACTATAATGAGATGAATTATACACAAATAATCCCTTGAATGCCTTAAGGGAATGACACTAGCAGTCTGCAACATCACTGGAAACTTCTGTGGTTTTGTTTTTGTAACTGCCCAGTGATGAGGTGCAGATTGCTTCCTTACTGTGGATTGCACTGGGACAGACAGTGTCATGGGTTTTTTTCTCTTTTGCAGAGCATTATTTGCATTCCTCCTTGAATGGGTGACAAAACGAAGACATTTCTGGAAGCAGTAATACTGCAGGGTTGTTTTAGGTGCCTCAGTTGAAACTCAGCAAGTTCTTAAACTTGCAGGTTGCATAGAAGCCTGTTATAGCTCTTAAGATAATTTTACTTTCTATTGTATAAGAACAGAGATTTTTGAGCTCTTAAAATCTTATGTGTCCACTCACTAGGTTGCTAATATTTGCATTTGATAGGCAACTGAGATCCAATCTGATGTTTTAAAATGACATTTTTGTGTAATGAAGTCATGTACAAAGATGCTAATATTGTCTTTTAAAGTAGCCTTAGTTTGATTAGACATGAAATATTTTGTCTTATTACTTCGGGCAAGATCACTGAGCTCTTTTTCCAATACCTCTGCTGGAATTATTAATATTTTCTTTGGCTCAATTTTTTTAAACTTTTTTTAAGCTTTGCAGTTGTCTCTGAGATCTACAGTTTTTACTGAGGTCACTGAAACAAAAAACAGCGGTGTTTTATTTTCCCCTCTTTTTAATTAAAGATAGTAAGAAAATGTATTTTACATGAGGCTGTTTGACTGTTTATTCCTTCTTTGCTGAGTGGCCATCAGCTTAATCTCTATATCTTGCTTGTCTTTTACACCACCAAGGGGTGGTGTTGGCTCTCTTATTTCATGAGAAGTGGTAGATGCTCAGTTTAGGCAAATAAGGATGGATTTCTATGTAAAATGGTAAATTTTTGAGCTGTTAGGCTATGACACTGGATATAGGCACTGAGCAGTAGTAGTCCTTTACCCTTGAGTAATTTCTGGAGCAATCCCAGAGGGAAGCAGGCTTTGTGGTTAATTTTCCATACTGGTTTGCTGTGTTGTCCCAGGTCCAAGCCCAGTTTTGGGGCTCTGAAGGACATATGCAGGAACCATATGCCACAGCATGCCTGATGTTGCTATAACACTTGTTCAAGGCGTGTAGCAAAAATCCTTTATTGCACAAAAGGATATTTGAAACCTTCACTTTGTAAGCAAGGAAACAAAAATGTGGAAAGGCGAAGGTTTTTTTTCCCCAAGGCTCATAAATTCCTGATTTGGAACCCAGCTACAATATCTGTGCCTTTACTGCTCAGTCAGGTTTTGGATACTTTCCACTACTGACTGCTCTCTGGGAGCAGAACTTTTGGATGGGCTCTACCTGTGGAAAATCTATGTTCAGCAAACTGAGCTTAAAGCTAATTCAGTTCAGCTGTGAGTTGAGTGGAAGCAGTTCAGGCAGTAAGAATGCAGGCAATGGTTTGTCAGTCGCTTGGATTTTTATTTCTATCAGTGTTTCAAGATGGATTTGCAGTTTGCCTCCTGTCCACCTCTGTCATGACCTACTCTCAGGCATCAAAGTTGTTGGCGTTTCTATCAGAACCTTTCCACGTATTTCCCTTGCATTACTGTTCAGTATGGCCTGTTCACACAGCAGCTGGATCTGAAGGTGCTTTGGCATTATTCACTGCATGACCTGTGATTTAGATACAGGTGCTGAAAAAATCAGTTCTGCTTTCGTAGCAAGCCCATCAGCTGTGCACTCACTCTAAAGATATAATACAGCTTCTGTGCAGATGAACTGTTTTGTCTGTTTACACTGACTTTGCACAGGTTCCTTTTAACTTCCAGTCCACAGTCCACAACTCCATGTCAAAGGCATGTTCTTGGAAATTTGCTAACTTTTGATAATAGAATAATAAGCTTTCCTATATTGTAACTAGTTCTAGCAAAAGTAAGATTTTTATTAACAGAATTGTCTGCTAAATGCCTCCTTATACTTTTAAAGATTCGCTTCTCTCACTGTGAAGCCCATGAAAGGAAGGTTCTAGGTGCTGATGTCTACTTGGTATGTTCTTTCTCATGAAAGATCTCGTGATCACAGGCAATGGGTAGATCCCACGCAGCTTCGAAAGGGGGGAGATTGGCTAATGATTGTGTGAAAGGAAGAACTGGCCCAATGACGTGGAAATTTATCACAAATACCATCTGTGAGATAATAATCTAATTTCCACCTGCCTACCAAATCCTCTAATTATGATTCTTAATTTTAGAACAGTCTTGTAGCTCTGAGCTTGAGGAGCATTTTCATAGACGAGCAGACAATGTCAGGGGTGTGTGTTTTCTGCCAGAATTGGGTTGTCTTATAATAACTTCTGTTTTGTGTAGGTAAACATATTTTGGTTTATTTTTCAGGAGACAGCAGCAAAAAAAGAGGAGTCCAGCCCGGATCAGTTGTGGCACAATCTACGGACTTCAAATGTACAAAGAAGTAAGGAGTTTTTACATGCAGAGTAGGACTGAACAGGAAATAGGATCTGAAGTAGGGCTGGAACTGTAAGAGAAGTAATCTGGGCTCTGAAACGTTGGCCTTATTTGTGGTTTTGGGTTTTTTTGGGGGGGGCTTTTTTAAATACATGGTTATTCACAGTTGTGGATTTAGTAAACTTTTCCAGGCTCAAGTGTTGTTAGGAATTGCCACTCAAACTGATAATCGTAACTCTTTAAGAAAACATCTAGAAGACGCAAATAAAGTCAGTCTAGCAAAATTCGTATGATGAAATCCTATAAACACCATACGCAATTGGGTAAAGAGAAGTTAGCCATAGATATGTCCTTTGATTTAAGGCCATGCTCCTGTTGTACCTGTGATCTGATGATTGTAGTGGGATTGTTATGGCTTTAATCTTACCCTACTGATTAGTCTTGTGACTATGCTGTGAGAACACCATTTTCAAATGTTAATGAAGGAATTTTTGAAAAGGTTGTACCCAAATTTGTCTCACACTGCTTTTTTAGCACACTTGTTTTTGAGGCTTCATCCTTCTGGCTTTCTGAAATTTAAGACAAATTTTCCTCTGTAGCAGAAACTCAGGATTACTCCTTCACAGTTCGAAATCCTGGAAAAGAGGAGATGTTCAACATGGATGTTGCCTACTCAGAGCAAGCAGCTGTCCTGCTCAAGGGATCATTCCTGTCTGAATCTAGGAAGTTAAATGATGGAAGTGCCCTAACTGTAAGAACTGAAGGATTTATTTTTCCTGTTAGAACTTATTAACCTCATCTTGTTGATGAGGAAACAAGACACTTGGTTCAAATGTTTGATCGGTTCTTGGAAATGTCCTCTGTGGATAGTGTTGCAGTGGGTCTATACTAAGTAGGTATTTTTGGACAGGTAGTGCTGTTATCCTTGCAGTGTTGGCCAAGGCTAACATTGTGTTGTGGAGGGTCAAAAGAAGTAGGGCTTATGTGTGAAACTTGCTATTCTGATACAGATCTGTGTTGTTTCCACTGAAAAGAATAACTGGACTTTCTTACTTGTAATTCTAACAGTTTTCTTTTCTGCAAATATACTGGACTGCTTCCGAGGTTCAAGTAGATTAGAGTGGGTGTCAGGCTGTTTTTAATGTAGATAAATTGGGATATCCACTATGATTAAAGAGCAGTACTGACAAGGGAAAATAAATTTATTCAACTGTGAGCTGAGTAGGAGTAGTTTTGGGTATTTGGTGTTGAAAACAGCAGAATGAATACATTGCTGGTTATGGTAAAGAATGATAAAAATAAGTAGAGGGTTTAGTAGTGATAACTTGCACTGAACCTTTTGGGTGGGTGTGTTTTCCCTTAGAAATTTAAGATCCCTAAGGGCAGACTAGGAGTGACCAGGATTGGAGATTTATCTGCTCAAGACATGAAGAAGATCCCCACACTGGCACTTATTGAACTAACAGCGCTCTGTGATATTTTGGGCTTTGAGCTGAAGAGAAACAAAGCAGCAAAACTGAAAACAGCAGGTTAGTTGTATGTCATCTTAACTTTTTTTGGTGAATTTTTTTTAAAACTAATGTTCTCATAGGTTAGTGTTTGAAATGTTAGAACAGAGAGGGTCTTCGATAAGAAACCTTGTGACAGGTGTGTTTTCCTTGATCAGAATTTCTTCTGGAAATCACTGAATCATGACATCAAGACCTAGCACCACCTTTGTCTGACTGTCAAATGCACTGGTTCTGTTTAACTGTTCCTCTCTTTTTTTCTCCAGTATTTATCCTTACAAAATGTGCCATCTTAGTCTGCAGTGGGGGATATACCCTTTACACCTGTATTAGTGGTGATACGGATTATAACATGTTGTTTCTGTTGTAGAGAAAAGACTCTTTGGAGTTCCACTCAACACTCTGTTGGAAAATGACCAAAAACTGCTCCCCAACACCAAGGTCCCTCTCTTACTGCAGTCAGTAAGTTCTCTTCTGGTTTCATGCAAACCTCTGATCCTTTGAGTCAGAAAGCCTTTGAGGCCTGTGATAAGGAAGGTCTGACTTCTCATCCTCTATGCCTAAGAGCTTTCTTTTTTTCCCCTCTTTAATAGCTGCTGTCCTGCCTGGAAAAGAGAGGACTTGAAACAGAGGGCATTTTGAGAGTTTCTGGGTCCCAGACCAGAATCAAGGTATGAGCTCTTTAGTAGTGTTCGAATGTGTCAGAGACGATCAGGGAGCATGTTACTGAAGCAAGTGTCTAATAAACCTGAATTGTCTTGACTGTCTTCCCAGTACAACTAGAAATGTCCATTGCTGGGAAATCTGGGAGTGTCTGCTGTGAGGGTCTGCACTCTTTTAACTTGATGGGTTGCCCTTCTAGTGTTCAGCTGCAGAATTTCCCTTGTATGTGCTTATTAAAGCATGTAATAAATTCATTTTTTTAATAGAGTCTGGAACAGAAGCTAGAAAAAGACTTCTATACTGGCCTTTTCCGCTGGGATGAAGTCCATCAGAACGATGTGTCTGGGCTGCTGAAAAGATTCATAAGAGAGCTGCCAGCCCCACTGCTGACAGCAGAGTACCTCCCTGCTTTTGCTGCTGTACAAAGTGAGTCCTTGCTTTGGCTGTTTAGCATTAGTTTTCTGGTTGTGCTTGGGTTTTTTTTCAAACCTCTGCTGGTCTTGGACTCTCCTGTCAGGTGTGTTGGGAGCCTGTGGATTCCATGGGAATTCAGAGAACAATATGAGCTGTGGTCAGACTCTGTGTGCTGGGTGCTATATGTACTGTCATATATCAGCCTGAGTGTCATAGTCACTGGTGCTTGGTTGCATACATCTTTGTGTAGGAACACCGTCCCAGGGTCTTAAATTTTATTGTGTCATTTGAGGCTGCAGCGTTGTTACCATGAATTAGGACAACCTGATAAATAATGACATGCGGGCTGAGTGGTGGCAGCTGGGCCGGGGAGCATGGTCTTGGCTACACTGCAGGCAATGCAGTGCTCTGCAAGCACCTTGTTTTGAGGTTTGTGCCTCAACAGATGGTTTGAATGTGTTCAGCTAACTGTTTAAGTCCACAACTTTTTTTTATTCAAGAAATGGAGAATAATGGGGTCTTCTGTTGCCCTTCAAAGGCAACTTCAATGACTTGCTGATAGACTGGGTACTCCGAAGCAAATCAGCCAGTCTTCTCGAACATACATAGTTTGCTTATTAAGGGCAGTATGAGCTTGATTTACTTCTGTAAAACAAGGTCTCAAATCCTAGATGACAAACGCTATAATAAGTAATAGCCTTATTCCTTGGGGGATTCCCATGCTCATAAAGAACGGTCAGAAACCTGAATCTTCTGTTTTGTTGTTGCTCTCCTTCTCTAGATATTCCAGACCTGAAGCAAAGGTTGCAAGCTCTAAACCTCCTGATCCTGATCCTGCCAGAGCCTAACAGAAACACTCTAAAGGTAACTGCCTGTTCTGGATTCAACCAGAAAAACACGATCTCATTCCAGGTTTTTATTCGAGGAAACTTTATCAGCTTTTGTAAATAACATACATCGTGATATTTAGTTTTATATCACTGACTGGGGAATGAAAAGCCATGATGAGGAGAGCAGACAGAACTGTGCAGTGAACGTAGACTGTAAGCACAGTCTGCCTTTTGGGTACAAATTTATTATAAGAGCAGTAGGAGTCCATGTGGTCTTGGATCATCTTGTTTAGAAACATGTTTTTCTTCAGCATGTTAAAACGCTTCACTACGGAGTGAAAGGTGTGTAGGTCTCACATTGTCTGTGGGCATGCGAAGGTACAGGGAAAGAAATTCAAGTCTTTTGATTCAAGGTTTGTGGTATTGTCATCATCTATGAAAGATAATTTCAATTTTAAAAAGATAAAAAAAGCTACTAAGCTTATAACTTCCTACCCTTTTCTCATCAGAATTAATGTCAAATCCTTTCACCTACTACATTTTGAAAGAATAAATGCTGCTGAGATCAGCTTTGCAGGCAGTGCACAACCTCTGCCTTTCTGTGCTTTGAGAACTGTGGTGGTTGCTGCTGCTTTTTTTTTTTTTTTTTCCTTCTTCTGAGTAGTTCAGCTTCCAGGTGATAAAGGCAAGGCTGACTTAGCACTCTGAAAACTTCATTTAAAGTGCTGGAGTACATAATCCAGCCAAAGATGTTCTGTTGTGCATCATGGCTTTGGTGGAGGTGTGAGGCAGAAGAGATAACCCAAAAGTATTTATTTTTCCACATCTGGGAAAAGCTAGAGGGGTCACTGGGTAAAGAGGGAATAGTCTTTGGATTCTGTAACTTTTATGACTGGATTTTATAAAATGCCACCTGCCAAGGAGTAAGAGCTCATCTGCTTCCCACACAGATTGTGTCTCCTGGTTCATGAATGCTGGACAAACTATCTCTCTGCCTGGTATGGTTATTTGTTGCTATCCTAGTATTAGAAATTGGTCACTGAACTTCCTGACTGGAGAAATAAGATTTGCTCATGGATATGAAGAAAAAATGTTAATTAAATGATCTCATCAGCAATTGCCACAGTAGTTTCTAAGCATTGTTGGTAATAGATGTCTTAAGTCTCCTCCTTTTTCTTTAGGCTCTACTTGAGTTTCTCAGCAAAGTGGTCGCCAAGGAAAACAACAACAAAATGAACCTCTGGAACGTTTCCACAGTCATGGCCCCGAACCTCTTCATGCACAAGGGGCTGCCAAACAAGATCCCCGAAGGAAAGGAGAAACAGCTGGCAGAGGGGGCAGCTGATGTTGTGCGGATGATGATCCATTACCAGGATTTGCTCTGGACAGTAAGTTGTGCAGGTGCTTTGCGGTGTGGTGTGGCAGTGTCTTGTTCTGGTTAGAATTGGAATAGGGGGAGAGATAGTCTTGGGAATTTCAGAGGAGTTAAATGTCTGTAGGCAAAACCTCTGGCTGATTTCAGGATTACCTGTTTTGAAGGTATGTAAATATTTGGTCTATTTAAGGAGCTTCGTGGAGTGATGCTTAGGTTCTTAAATGGCATCCTCATCTCTGCTTGATTTAATTCCTTCTCCCCTGCCCAGGTCTCCTCTTTTCTGGTGGCTCAAGTGAGGAAGCTGAATGAGAGCAATAGCAAAAGGTACCAGTTCTGTGACAAGCGAATTAAAAATTTGTTGCGGAAGATTCATGCTGATAAAGACAAGGTGGAAAAGAACCAGGCAGAGGTGAGTTAGGGCTTGAAAAAAACAAGCTCTTTCATAATATTGTGAAATGGTTTCATGAGAACTTGGATAACTCTAAGGAGTGATGCTCTTTAAAGAGAAAGATGGAGAAAAATCTGCAGAACATCAAGAAAGTTTCCCAGACCCTTTTGGCCAGGTTGTGGCAAGAACTGATCCCAATAACAAATAATTTGTTTAAGATGCTGCATGGTTGCAGGCAAGGGGGGAAGAGACCAGGAGCAGAAATGCTGGTCTTTACCTCACATGAAGAACAGAATTCCTATGGCTTTCGGTGTCTTGTGTTTAGACTGGTGTGTCCGCTGTAATAAAGGCAGACTTATTTTCATGAACTTGAAGCAAAAATTTAGGCTATTACAGGAGCATGAATGTACATTTTGCATCCAGTTTTCTTTTTGCTCCATAATGCTGCTGATCTGTACAGGAGGGTTTGAGGATGAGGTTCTTGCCACTTAAAAAGAGAGAAGTTCCCAGATAAATGAAATGGCTCTACTCATTCTTGTGTTGCTGCAGGCTGAGATTTTTAAACAGATGTTCCTACCAGATCTACTTGAGAATCAAAGTTGTGAAAAGATCTTTGGAATCATTTTGCCTTTTTTTTTTTTTTTTTTTTTTTTTTTTTTTGAATAAATGTAGATCTGTAGAAGCTGAATTACATCATTCAGTGATGGATTTTAAGTACTGGGTAGCAGTGGCGCTGCAACTGGGATGCTCTAAGGACATGAGCTAGATGAAGTCTGAGGTAGCAACAGTGCATTAAAAGCTTAAATCTGCATACCTGAAGAAGCATTTGTGTTCTCACAAGCCAGTACATCTCCCACCTTTGGGATACTGTGATGACATCTGCCTAAAATTTAGCTTCTTAAGGTGTGATGGCACCGTTGAAGGTGCTATTATTTCAGAGAGGGCAACTACTGTTTAGGCAGTCAAACAGGTGACTTGATGCTTAGGAAGTACCATTAGCACTGTCTTGGTGTTCTGTGCTGTTTTTGCAGAGGATTTGGGATTGCAAAATTAACTTGCAGCAGATCAGACCCTGGCAGCACAGTTCAATGTTCTCTGCAAAAGTTCTAATAAGTGAATTCACAAGGGAGTTGATAAAAACAGTATTGAGAAAATAGCACTGGAATGTTTTTGAAACTTAACTTTCTGAAATTCAGTAGTCTGCAATTCAACCGTCTAAACTCCTTTTTCAGTAATTTAAATGAATTCCAGAGAAGTCTATCAGACCTGTGCAAAACAGTTTGTTAGAATTCTGACAAACCCTATTTTCATCAAAGCTTGTGTCGCTTCTAGTGGAGGTGCTGTATTTGAACAGCAGAGAGCACCAGTGCACCCTGATGGAGAGGGGTGCTTTTCTCTCCAGCCACAGGACGGAAACACTGATGATTGGCTTCTAATGCTCACCTCGATGCTTTCTGTGAGCTTCCAGTCTGTAGTGTGTGTGGGATGAGAAACAAACCTAAATTCTGTGAACAGCTGGCTAGATAGGTTTCATTCTTCACACTCTCCTATCTATTTTGAAACGATGTTTTAGCTGATAACGTCTTTCTTTAAGCACTTTATTCTTTTTTGCCTGTCTTGTTCAGCCTTCCAAGATTGTGAAAGTCCACGCTTCGCTTCTCCTGAAGGATTCTCTAGAGGTGCATTTGAACAATGCAACCAGAGTTGCTGATGTCTTGAGGCAGTTTCAGAAGAACCTGTGCCAGAATGGCTGGAATATTGTTAACACTGTCAACCTCCTCAAGTGGTAAATGGCTTTTTCTCTGCTTTAAGGAAAAAGAAAAAAAAGTAGTAGGTGGTCTAGTTGCTGTTTTCTGTCTCCTGGCAGAGCTGATGTGGCAGCACAGTGAGCGATTAGGAGATTGTTCTCTGCTCCTCTATTCTATGCTTTGGCCATAGTGTGTTGGATGGGGCAAGCAAATGTTAGTTCAAGTGAATGATTTCATCACTGTGCTCAGGCTCTCAGGAGGTCAGTAGTCCCCTCCAGGCTGCTGGGTGACAAGTGAACTTTAGCAGCCTTGCTGAAGGGAAGGGAAAGTGGAATAACATTGACCCTGCAAAACAAACTCTCTCTAGCACTCCTGGAGAAAAACATCACCTGTGCAAACTATTCGCCTAGAGTAGCATTTCAGACATGCATATCTTAATGTAGGGATTTCCTAAAATAAGCTCTGCAACTCCCTCCTATGCTCCAGTGGTGAATTGATGAAATAACCTAAAAAATGAACAGAAGAATTCCTGGCCCCCTCTGTCACCATACCTGCAGACCGTATTTAATAGGTAAATGTTCAGCCTCTCCTGACTGTGTCCCTGGGCAGCAGATGTCTAGACAAGGAGGGTGGATGGGAAGTTGGCTGAATATGGGTCAGCTGGTATCTCACTAACAAGCTACTACAGCTGCCAAAGTCTTCCTGCAGATGAGCTTCTCATGAACAGGCCATCAGTTGTGGAGGAATGCTGCCGTGGAACTTTGGTATTTATGCCTGTTGTCTTCCTGTTGAAAAGTTAGTGCTTGCATATAGTGTGCTTCTTTCCACCTCTGAGAAATACCTGCCTTGTTTTCTTTTTTCCAATTTCGGGTGTCCTTTTCAACAGCTGCACCGTTCAGGAAAGATCAGCAAGGTCTCTGTAATACGGCCTGTATCTTCCTTGACCATTGCTGGCCTCTGAAACATAAGCATTTTTTTTGAACAAATATTACTAAACTACCTAACCTGACTTTCACAGAGCTTTATTAACTTCAGTGTTTTTCTTTCTGCAGCAACAACTCAATGGAGTGCACAAACCTGCTCCTCTATGAAGTGGGAGGCAATATTGGTAAGTCCGGATGGTAACTGAAAATAAGGAGTCTGATAACCATTTTTTATGCCTAACTTGTCTTAGGAGGGAGTTGTAAAAAGAATGAGATTTGGAGGGGGTTCCAAAAGTTAGAAGACAGATAAACAAGTGTGGGTTAACCTCACCCACAGCAAACAGCACCTGTCAAAGCTCTTGGGTTGATGGTTCATGTGTCTTCCGGGCAACACTACAAAGCCTTTATAGTGCAAGTATGTGAGAAGGTTGAAGCCTGGACTTCTACAAATACTTAACTCTAATGGATCTTATTCAGAAGCTTCCTGCCAAGAAAAGCGGAAACTCCAGAGGTCTTGAGAACAGAAACAGGCAAAACTTTGTCCATCTTATAAACAAGCCAAGCTTCCATTGTGTTAAACGTACCATGTTAAACTCCCTCTCCCCTCAATGATAAAGGTTCATGTCTGCAATTAAGTGCAGAACTTAAAACCATAAAATACATTCATCTAAGTAAAGGAAGCTCCATCCTATGACACTATTTTTTTTTAATTGTGTGCTTCTTATCTGGGCTCTAAGTGTGGTAGGCTGGCCCATGGCATCTGTACTAATGACTGCCTGCTCCAGGTGTGAATTCTGTCTGCCTTCATCAACTCTCTGACAAAAAGTACCCATACTAACTTGGGGGGAAGTTTCGCAAACCATGTAGTTATGGTTTGAGATGTTCATTAGTCACTGATTTCCACTTGTCAATAGGGTAATGTCATCAGATGGAGAGGAGACTTTAATATGATTACAGCAGCAGATTAGGAGTCTCTGAAAATAGAAAGAAATTCGTATGCCCTGCTGCAGCTGCTTCTGGAGACTGTTGGTTACTGGAGTGCTTTGGCTGCCTCTTAGTATATCTCTTAGCATCTGTAGAAGAAAAGCTTGATTACTGGAAAAAAAATCAGTCTCTGGATTTGATCCCTAGCATATTTCATGATGGTTTGCAAGTGCTAAAGTTATGTGTTAGAGTACCTTTCCACAAAGATCAAAGCCTGAGCTCAGTTAGTTTTAAGAAACACTCATTCATTCACCAGAACTTTTCCGGATTTGTGGAAACACTTCTGAATGGTTTTGATATTGAAATGAATGTGAACAGATACCAGTTTTTAGGGTGGAAAAAACCCACCCCAAAACCTAGCAACTATAGGTCTAAGTATATAAGAAACACTTTTTCTCTCAATCTCTTATTTTGATAGGTGAACATTGCCTGGACCCAGACACTTACCTCTTAGACTTGTACCACATCAATCCCCATGCTGAGTGGATAATTAAGCAAAACCCCTCTCATCCTCGGATGTTCTAAGGAAAGCATGAACAAAATAAAGGATTTGATTTGAAGTTTTTGGAAGGCATGGAAAAGCTATAGAGGTGTTCTAGGATAGTCACAGACTGGACAGTGCTTGTGTCTTCGACGGAGAAACAGCTTTACATACAACTGCCATGACAGCTGGCTGTGAGCACTCACCAGCCTACATGCTAACAGGGGTGTTGATACAAGCAGCAATTATCACTATGTAGCAGAATTTGTAGGGGGTATGATGATTCTTAGACAAAGTAACCCCTAAAACAAACCCTGCAAACAAAGCTGCAGTGACTGTGCAGCAAAGACAGAATGTAAGAGAAGAAACATTTTCTTGAAGATGGTAGAAGACATCTGTTTCTTCTGGATTTGCTCTTTCTTTTGATCACATGCACATTTTGGAGGAGTCAAATGCTGCAGTGGTACTAATGACATCCCTTTGGGAAGATCCACTGTTGGGTGTTGCACATCATCAGAAGTTGTGATCCCGGGTTTCACTGATGAGATACTGTTACGTTCTTTGAAGAATTAAAAAGGATGCTTCCAAAAGGGCCAGATGGGATTTGAGGCCAATGTCCTGTATTTAATGTCTGCAGTTAAATACATATATGCAACACAAGAAAATAACTTTCCTTGGAAAAAAGTATGGGATGAAGAGCAGCCTTTCAAATGTACAGTGTGATCAGAGAGATGCCTGTCCCGTACAGCTCTGCTGGCAATGCAGAAACAAATGAACGAGTTGCCATTGATGAGGGTATAGCATGCATTTATTTTCTGGACAACCTGTATACAGGACATATATTGGACAACAGATAACCAAGGAAATATTCTGAAGTTAATTTGAGGTTACTAATCTGACCTGGCCACATGAACTAAACTGACTTTTGGAAGGCTCTGTGTGAACATGTCTGTTTAAAACAACAAAGCAAAAATCCCCCAAGATGTGCAGTGGCTGAAATAAGAGTTCCGTGCCTGTGTCCGGTCACACAGCGGTACTGAACCGAGCCTTTACTGCTCTGACTGCACGCTTTCATCCCACACAGCACCGTGTGATTGCTGTGGTCTGGAGAGACGAGGGTAGAGCAGAGCGCTTGCGCCTCACATCGCTGCCTAATCGTCATACGACCTCGGCTCAAATGAGACTGCCCTTGTAGAAGAGGAGTGCAGAAGTACTTTTTTACTTTGTGGTGATGCTGAAATACCTCACATGAGGGAACCTACTATGCAGTTACAGGGGATGGAACACGCATCATTTCTGAAAATCCTGACATCTTTTTTTATATACTGTTTAAAAACACTGTTGGATATTTATTCATGTGGCAGAAGCAGGGCTGCCCTGCAAGTGTATACTCAAAGTATTTAATTTGCTAAATCCTAGCTGCACTAGTGACAATCTCCAGTATTATTTCTTCTGTTAAATGAATTTGTTTCCATTACAGTCTGAACTTTCCCTCCTCTGCTTTTTTTTTCCCTGGTCTGGTGTGTAGCTATCCCTATTCATTATCTAAAAGTCCTCCTTTCTGTTGTAAGGGCACTTCATTCTGTGGTTTGGCTGCCTGTGTGGTTAAATTCTCTTGGTGGTTAAGATCCTTGAGGAACAGGTGAGCCATAATCCATATTCCTACTAACTTGTTGTGAATACTGTGTGTGGTGCTGGTGTCTTGAAATGATGCATATATTAGAGAGTGTCTTCTGATGTCGGTTGAAGTGATGCAGATGCACTGACTGGAGGGATCATAGCTGTCTTTTTAAGAACCTGTAATAGAAACTTGCAAAAAACCCACCTCCCAACCCTGACCCAGAACCCTAATGTCAAGACTTCTTGAAGTACCTCTGTTTTATAGGGCTTAAATTGTGCCTAAAAAGCCCTGATTCTTGTCTTTGAGGATGCATGATTTGTGTCTCTTGAAAGATCAGGCTGCTTTAAAATTGGGCATTAAAAAAATCAATGGTACCTATTTATTCATCACTTCTGGAAATGTTGTAGTGACGGAGCTTAGCAAAGAGCAAATGCCAGAGATATGATATCCTGACAGATGCCTAACACATAAAGGTATCTGTAGGAGAGATGACTCTTCCTGCTCAAAGATGCTGTGTAAGCTAAATTGCATCCCTGCAAATCATATAATGCTGCATTTTTTTCCACTCCTCATATGCTGGATGCTTTATTAAAAATACTGCCTTCCATACGTACAAGGGGCAAACACTACATCACTACTGTAGCAAACAAATGAGTGGGTTTTTTTGAACAACAATCAATGTGAATCAGTGCTGTGAAAAACAAAGTTGGTGGGAGATTCTCATGAGACATAAATATCAGTTCTCAAATATGAAAGGAAATTTTTAAAAAAGACACCAAAACATCTCTTTCCAGATGATGAATATTCTTTTTTATTTTTCTTTTCTATCTGTACCAGAAAGTAAGTATGAATTTTTCAGTCACTGATGTGCAACTTACTTTTGAATACTGGCTTTTAATAACTTTTTTTACAAATTTTTAATTCTGTATTTAAAATTCATTTATTCAATAAAACAATAAAAATATAGTAACTATCTCTTGGCTCCAGTTTTATTAGTGGCTGAAAATAAGTTAACAAGGTAAATAGCACCATGTCTGTGAATGCCTGCAGGATTTGCCTGATCCTTGAAGAGGGATGCACCTGGGGTCTAAGTGAGCTTGACAGGAGTTTCATGTTACAGCTTCACAAGTTCCTCCTCAGAGGATCCTGTGAAAGATCCAGGAGGAGGAAGAGGAGGTCAGTGTTTGAGTACAGAAAGCCCAGAGAAAGGTTGGCAGGGGGCTGAAGGTCTGTTTGTGAGCACCAAGAATTAGTGACTTCTGAAGGAAGAACAGTGCTGTTAAAGGTTAAGCTTGAGGAGGGATGTCCATATCCCATGAGAAGTCCCCTTCCCACCCCCTCAGGCCCTTCTCAGCTGAGCTGTGCTCAGTGACATATATGCTGGGAGAACCAGCCAAGTTATCCAAGAATAGGAATCCAGTCTGAATCTCTGGTTACATTATAATATTAATTATAATACATTATAATACATTATAATATTAATAGTGTTCAATAGTCAGTGATGAAATGTGGCATAAATCCACTGCTACTTGTTTAAAAACAGTAACAGCAGCAGCCTGTCCAGTATTGCTGATAGAAAAGCAGGACTTGCTATCCTATCCAGAAACAAAAGGAAAGGGAGGAAGATCCAAGCAGTTTTAGAAAGCTTTCAGAGCAATTATCAGAGGAAAACACCAGTTTATCAAACTCATTTCACCCATTCATCTTCAGTAGTATCAAAGTGCTAATCTCTCCCATCCCCAAGGGCTTTTTTTGATTGATCATTCACAGCTATCTCCCCTGCTCAGAACAAAAACCCAGTATTTATTCTGTATGCAACCTGGAGTTGGGTGTGCTGAGATAACAGGACATAGCATAAAAGAATCTTGCAAATGCTGGTTAAACATATTTGTGCATGAAGTAGAACTGGAATACCACACGTTAAAAAATGAGCAATTTGCTTCAGGAAAAACTATTTGCAGAAATACAAGGTCTTCATGGGAACACACAAAGCTTCAACTCTTGGAGGGAAACGCCATAGGAAAACAACTAAATGCATTTCTTAGAGCAAAGTAAGTAAATGACAGCAAATACTGTTGTAAACAAAATGTGGTTGCATTTGATTAAATCTTTTCCCCTAGTGCACTCCCCGGTGTTGTAAACAAGACAAGACATCTGCGTTTTTGTATGCTGAGAGAATGGAACTTTAAAGTCCTCTCCAAATCCTCTCTGGTCTTGATTGCACACAAGGGTTGAATATGTCTTTTTCCTTGGGGGAAAAAAATAAGAGGCTGTAGTTAAACACTTAAAGCTATTAGAAAAGAAAATTTGCAGCTGCACTGACTTACCAGCTAGGAAATGGCCATGGCAGGATCAGTTCCTATAGTCCTTCCTAGTCTTCTCTACTCCCTACAAACTCAGGCTTGAGTGTGCTTTTTTTTTTTTTTTTTTTTTTTTTATTACGGTGTCGTGACAACATTTTCTTTCTCGAAGAGGCTCTGCACTGGCTGTCCCTGCCTGGTTCCTTGTCCAGGGGACAGTGGGGGCCCTCACCTGCTGAGGTGCTTCTCCCCCCAACCTGGACCTGGCAGGATTCACTGAGCTCAAGGAGTTGAAACTTTTTTCCCCACACTGTGTTCTGTTATTAGCTCTACATGCGGGCTGGCCTAATGAATGTGGATGAGGGGAGGAAATCCCGTTTTTCCTTAGTCCTTGGAAGGGAACTTGAAGTGGTGATGCTTTCACCTATCTGACCCTCTTGGCTGCCCCTACTTCCTGGGCTGGTGAAGTTGAATGAGTAACTAATTAGGGGATAAAGGCAGAAAACCAACAGAAAGGGAGGGTTTAGGTGTACCTGTGCAGCTTGTGTGGTTTCTTTGTTTTGCAGGGTTTCGAAGAGATGCAGAAGCACGCGAGCTCTGCTGTCCTCACTCATCCCAAACCTTGTTCTTGGCAGGCTGCAATAGAAACCTGCTGCAGTGGTTTCCTGTCCTTTGCAGGCTGAAAAACAAAGTCTGGTTTCCCTTACTTTCAGCTTTCCCTGGCCTGCCCTTTCTGTGCTGAGAGGGTGACGTGAGCTTTCAGTACTGAATGTACTTCGTGTTGCTCCAAGCTGTGCATGGACTGCTGGTGACTTGTGTTGAAACTGAATCTTTTGAGCCTTACCCACAGTTTTAAAAGGCCTGAGGATCACGGTTGTACCAACCTGTGTTACCTCTTTTCTCAGCTTTTTGTATGTGCCTAGTCAGTGCATTCAGAAAAAGTTGCTTTTATCTGTGCTGATGTCTCAGTAGTAAGCCTTCTCTGGACACAAGAGGCAGTTAAAGTGGAATAATTGCCTTTTACTTATAACAAACCAGCAGAGCTGGCTCAGGGTTTCAAGAGACACAATTAAAGATATTGCGTTGTTTTCTTCAAAAGGAGAAATAGACCTGGGGCTTCCCTAATAGCCCTCCTGATTCTGCGCTGCGCTCTTGGAGTGCGTTGTTGTGGGTTGCATTTATTATGAGCCACTTATTATCCCTAATTATTTAGCAGGGGGGAGGTCTCTTACTAACAGGCGAATTTGTGACTTGATGAACACTCAGCTGTCTGTATTTAAGATAAAATTACTGTAATTAACAAATCGATCAACCCTACTTTTACTTTGCCTAGCTGGGACAGAACAAATGGGCTAAATGAGACCTATTTAGTACAGAGGTAGAGAAAGGGGTTTTGCAGACCTCAGGATACACAGGCTTAAAGCTGCTTTTTTTTTTTTCTTTCCCCACACACTGCTTTTAATGGTATTGTCACATAATTGTATCTTGTTAGATAATTTTGTCTCCAAGGAAAAGCACTCACGCTGTGCTTTCTTCAGCTCAGCCCAGCAAGGCCAGAGTCACGGCGGGTGAATAGCCAGGTGGGTGGGTTTTTTACAACTTAAACCTGGAGCAGGGGTGGGTTGGATTCCCTGGGTTCTGTGCTCTCTTGTGACTCTTGCCTGGTTGTTTGCAGAACTTAACCTCTTTGAGAGCAAGGTTAATTCCTCAGGTTGTCTTCTGGTCAGCAGATGTTGCCTGCTCCGACTCCCCCATCTGCTGCTCTTGGTGCCACGTTGCTGTCGGAGGGTCTGTGCCCTTACAGCCAATCCGCCCAGCTCGGGTGTGGGAAGAACCTGTCCCCGGTTCTTCCAGGTAATTGATACCTGCTAGCAGTTGCTCACACAGGAAGGGAATTCAAATAACTTCTGTAGCTGCAGTTTTGCCCTGGATTTCTGGACAGGCACCCACCTTACTCCAGCATCTCTCAGCCTCACTTAGCATGTCCCGAGTGTGTTGAAATAGCACAGGGTGCAGAATAGTCACTGGGCTTTAAATTGATGCCCTGACTTAGTTCCTGGAGCCACATGCTGTCTAGAAAGCATTCAGCTACAGGGATTTGTCCCTGTTGAAGCTTTTGAGGTATGTATGTCTGTGCACTCTGGCAAGCCCACTCTGCACGTTGTCACTGCATCCTCACTGCCCTGTCACTTCAGGGCTGTGTGGCATCCGCACATGTGTCTGAAATGATCCCGTTAAGTAGGTAAGACACTGGAGGGCAAAGGAGGTGCTCTCCATTTCAGTGTATTCTGTTCTCCTGTGAAATTAACTGGTAAAGGGTAGATCTGCTATAGAAGAAGAAACTAGCTCTGCCTATCAGTATGGAAATGGGGAAGGTAACTAAGTGCCTTCTCTGAGAAAGGGGCTGTCCCTGTGATTGACTCTATGAAGGGCAGATCTGGCAGTGATGGAGGGAGAGACTGTCTCAGTTACAAAATGGGACTGTTCTAGTGTCAGCTGGTTGCTTTTACAGGAGGACATCTACAGCAGAAGCTGGCACTCCTTGCCAGTGATGGTGGTTCTTGCTACACCTACTCAGCTAGCAGAAGAGGGGTTAGCTTACACACGCTGTGTCAGAAAATCACAGTCAAATTTATTCCTGTAGATTGTTAAAAAAGTATTCTGTAAGTACTTCAAGGGACTGGAACTGCTTAACCTGGACAGTTGTCTTTGTCCTGTCCCTTTTTGCATACACCAGTGGGAAGGTTTATCCTTGCTGTACCCATACCCGCAGGCAGGCAGCAGCTGTGCTGTGATAAGGGTATTACATCTGGTGGATAAATGGGTACTGGAGGATGTCTGGCTTGGTGTGTAATGCCAGCGGCTCGATGTTTCAGATGGTTTCACCATTGTCACCTTGTTTCATGGCGTGTGTGGCTGCCCTCCATCTTGGAGGCTGGTTTCATCTGTCGGGTGTTTTGCTGCTCTTCTCCAACCCTGTCCATCGCTCTCCATTGGCCCTTTCCTCCACCCAGCTCCGGAGACATCCCTGGCTGGAGGGGATGGCGAGTTGTTGCTGTAACTGTCACATGCATGCAGGGAAAACCCGTGTTGAACCGTCAAAGGCAGAGCCAAGAGCATTTGAAAGCTTCATTAGCTGGGCTTTGTTCTGACGGTGCAGTCAGGCGGGGAAATAATGCCGTGAGTGTTATCAGCCATGTGCAGGAGGTGGTTGCGTAGCAACCCCGATTGGGGTACCGCGCTGCTTTTCCAAGAGGAAAAAGAAATACTAATTTTCTTCAATTTAGAGGCATTGCAAACAGGAATTCATTACTGACAAAGGATTCACTTAGGTTTTACATCTCGTATAGAGATGGCAGACGGTGTTGGCCTCGATTTAGCATCGTGTAGGTGCAAACTCACGAGTTAAATGAACCTGGGACAATCTAGGCTCTGTTTGTGTTTTCAGCTGCTGTTTTTCATCCTTTTGTCTTGTTGGGGCTCAAAATGGGATGAGGACTGGAAATTTCATTGCTCCCTTCAGACCTGATGTAAAGGGAGCCCTCCTTGGTGTCATGTTGGTTATTACAGGTGAGAAGGGTGTTCCGTCTTCTCTCTGAGCCCTGTTTAGAGAGTAAAGTA